AGCTGGATAGCAATCATTATTTATTGGGATCCATGAAAACGGATATTTTACAGAATATATGATCGAGGTAAGGATTTAGAAATCTATTTGGCTTTGTTAGTTGTTAGAGTGTTTATGTATAAGTAAAATCATATAAAAATGTTTAAAGTGCCTTAATTTTAAAACAAGAACATATGGATATAGATTTTGATATAATCATAGATATAAAGCTGTAAATATATTTTAAAAGTGAAACTCCATCTCTACTAAAAATACAAAAATTAGCCGGGCGTGGTGGCACACACCTGTAATCCCAGCTACTCAGTAGGCTGAGGTAGGAGAATTGCTTGAACCTGGGAGATGGAGGTTGCAGTGAGTCGAGAGTGCACCACTGTACTCCAGCCTGGGTGACAGAGTGAGACTCCGTGACACACACACACACACACACACACACACACAAAGTGGAGACCTCTAAGTATAACATGCATTTTGAAATCGTGAATTTGTGTGATGTTTCTAAAAGGTCTCCTACTCATACCTATTTTTAGACTTTGTAACAAAATGATCTTAAATTAGTATTACGGAGCACTGTATAAAATTGAGAGTAGCTGAAAGAGCTGTTGTTGTGAAAATGAACATAATGAAGATAATGAAGCCCATATAGGCTGCATAACCTGTTCAGTCATCCAACTAATGGTAACCATATATTTTAAGTTAATTTTTTTCTCTGAAAGCTGTATTATAATTGGTTATAAGCAGACTTGAATGTTTCTCAACCATAACGACACTAGGACCTTAGAATAGGATCCTATTTCAATAGTCCCAAATTGGAAACAACAATTGGGCATCAATGTGAATGGATGCACAAATAGTAGTATATCCTTCCAGTGGGAATGAAAGAAGAAAATAATCTACGTACTATTGGTATACACAATAAATATGAACCCGAAAATCACACTGTTGAATGAAAGAAGCCAGCCCCCCTCAAAAACAGGATACTGATTGTATGATTTCACCAATATAAAACTGTAGAATAGAGAAATCTAATCAACAGAGGCAGAGATCTGTTAGTGGTCGCCTGCAGATAGGGGTGAAGGTAGTGACAAAGCACAAAGAGGCATAAGGCCTTTTTAGGGGGTGATGAAGATGTTCATTGTGTTGATCTTAGTGATGGTTTCACAGATGTATATTTAAATCAAAACTGATAAAAAAAAAGTGTGTACCTGTAATATGTGCAATTTATTGTATCTCAATAAAGTTGGTAAGAAAAAGCCTTATTATCCAAACCTGTTTCATAGCTCCTTTACACAGATAAGAAAAAAAAAAATAGGAAGTATAATACTTTCTTGTCAGCAACAGTGAGCCCAGGAATTTCAGGTACTAAATAAGAGAAGTAATGGGAAAATTATCTAGCTCATAGCCTTAAAAAAGGTTTAATTTATTTCATAATAGTGCTTGCTTGGAGATTAATGAAAAAGGTATCAAAGCTTAGAAGAATGGGTCACTCTACAAGTAATATAAGCCAGTTAAACACAGTTCAATTTTCTCTTATATATTGTTAAATGAATGCTGTCATTAACTATGATTTAAATGGGTATGTTGGAAACAGACTTTCATTTTCATCTGGAACTTCTTGGCATTCTAATAAATAAAAAGCCCCACTTACAGTCTGGTAATTTCTGGAGAGCAGTGGCTGGCAGATGGAAATCACTTAAATGTTTGCCGAGTTTATTTCAGATTGGCCAAGGTGCCAGGCCAGACTTTGCTGAAAAGTTATTGTTAGTTCAAAGTACTAGAACTTACTGTCTAGTCTAGAGTTTTTCAAAGTTGAAAAATCTATGAAAGAAAAAAAAAAAAAAACTCCTCACTTCACCCACTTTAAAAAAAATGCCTCTCTTCGGCACAAATATAAACTTTGCTTATGACCTTTCTTCAACTATAAAACAAAAATTTAAATTTAATGCACACAGAACTACAAAATCAGTAACATTTAAAACTGAGTTAACTTGACAGATGCTGTTTTGCTAAAACTAAATGGCCTCTCAAAGTGAATATTGTATGGACTGCTATGGCACTGGTTTCATGTTTCGTTTAGTTTGTTTTTAAGTACAGCCTATTTATTACCTATGGGCCCTGTGATACCTCTTCTCTGCCACTTACCTATTTGACACTGTTTCCTAACTTCCCAGTCCCTCAGTTTCCTTGCCTATAAAGTGAAGATTACCATATTTATCACAAACACAAGCAGTGTTTTAAATGCTTTAACTATACTAACTACTTTCATCCCTGTAACAACATTGTGAGGTGGCTATTATTATTATTATTCCTATTTTTCACACAGAGTACTTGAGGCTCAGGAAAAGTCACTTGCCCAAAGGCCACATTACCAGTAAATGAGTTAGAATTTCAAACCAGACCTGCATGGTTAACCACTATCTCATGCCGTCTCTCATACTGTCATAGCTTAAAATAGCTCATCAAAATTAAATGCATTAATATATGTAAAGTACTTAAAATTATGTGTGGCTTGCAGTAACAGTCAATAAATGCTGGCTATGATTGTTTTTCTCATATCTCCCATTACTTTTCTTTATGAGTGCAAGTGATGTCCCATAGACCTTCATTTGGCAAGAATGCATCACATATTAGGTCCACATCAGTTCTTTTCTCACTGGCATGGTCCAATTAAAGTGATGAAAGCATCAGTGCACTCATGCAACTTGATGCACCATATGAGCCCAGAAATATCACCGCACTAACCAAAATAAATGCCCATTAATTTAGGTTTATATAATCTTTGAAATAAATACTGGTGGACACCTGAGAATATATCCAAGGAATCCTTTCTCCCCTCTCAAAGACTCAATTTATAAAACTGCTCATTATTTTTCACTTTTAAGAGATCACAGGATGGGCCAGGCCCAGTGGCTCATGCCTGTAATCCCAGCACTTAGGGAGGCCGAGGCAGGAGGATCACTTGAGCCCAGGAGTTCGAGACCAGACCTCCCTATGGGCAACATAGGGAGAACCGCCCCCCGCTGACCCCCATCTCTACAAAAAAAAGTCTTTTTAAAGTAGCCATCATAGTGGCTCACACCTATAGTCCCAGCCACTAGGGAGGCGGAGGCTGCAGAGAGCTGCAACTCCAGCCTGGGTGAAGAGTGAGATCCTGTCTCAAACAAACGAGAGAGACAGAGGGAGAGTGAGTGAGTGAGAGAGAGAGAGAGAGAGAGGACATGTACTAGCTCTGTACTGCTTAAAATAATTTTTGTCCCTGGTGGATTGATCCTTTGTCTCCTTTGTGCCCAACACAGTACCTGGCAAACAGCGAGAACTTACATGTTTGCTTAATTGAATCCCGGAGCCATCAAAGGCAGGGAGAAATTACCCAGAGACAGGAAGAACTGAAAGACTGAAATGCCAAATAGGTCAGCGAGAACCATGCAGTACAACAATATAAACTCTAACCCAAATCCCCAAATTCCAGGCAAAGAACACATCATTGATATACATAGCTGTGACTGACTTAGAATAGTTGAGATCAGATCGAGTGGGCTCAGCTCATCAGCACCTGTTGAGTTCAAACCTGAATTTTTTCTCCTTCGCCTGTAGAATTTCCTTGTCGCTATGAAGAATAAATCTGCCTTATTCTCTAGGATCTCACATTTCGGTCTGGCTACTAAGTAAATAAAACTGGAAACTGGGAAGCCTTATGCTGCAATGACTGGCACCTCTGCCATTCGAGGACAAACATAGCCATCCTATTATTGAGTTTAAAATCACCACATTAATTGCCCGGAGTCCCACACATCCCCATTCCCGCACCGTGAGGGTGCAGGAGAAGTATGCAGTCACGCTGATGTCACCTGCCAGGTAACGGGACTCGGCAGGGAACTCCTCTAGGACTTCCACTCGGGGACTCCGGGGAAATATGGCTTCTGGCTCGTCCTCGGGGCTCCCCGCTGGGACTCAGCACAGCGGAAGTGGGGCACGCACTGGGAGAGTGGGCAAGAAAGCGCGAAGGAGCGCGCTTAGAAGGTCGCATCTGTGCAACGTGGACCGAAGGGTGGGTGTGGAGGCCTCGCCAATTTCCTTGTCTCTCTAGGGTTCCTGAGGCTGTCGGAGCTTCTGGAAGCCAGGGAGGCCCTGGATGCGGAAGTCTCAATGCAGCAAATTGCAGACCTAGTTCTGTGCCCTTATGAAGCACCCCTCTCCCTAAGGGCGCCCTCCACTCCCAAGCGGGGGCGGGGATCGGCAAAGGATCCAGATCATTCGGCCTGCGGAAGTCTAAAGGGCCATTTAGACACCCGCCTAAGAACTTGAAACTACCAGGACCGAACGCAGTCAAAATCCCTGGGGAGCAGTGAAGAATTCACACACTGGGGCCCACACCTCGGGACGCTCGCATTAATCTAAGGCGGGGCGTGGAAATCCTTACGTTACCAAAAGCGGATTTAGAGGCCGAGCCTCTGTAACTACCTCTCCTGTCCCAGCACTGCTTCTACCTCCCCACCTCTCCGCCCCTGCAACCCTTCCCAGACCAAACGGAGAAACGCTCTTTCCCGGTTCCAGGCTGCCAACCTTGCAGAACCGCAGCCAAAGGTCACGCAGGCCAGAGGCGCCCCCCCCGGATCTGCCACGCCCCCCGGCCAGGCTGGCCGCTTCGGCGTCGCAGCCCAGCACCCGTACCTTTCCCGATGACTTCCAGCAGCTCCTTCTCCTCCTGGGTCAGCTCGCCTTTCTTTATGTGAACCATTGCTCCCGCCAGCTTGAAGGTTATTCTGTTTCTTAGGAAGTATTAAAAAAGAAAAGATGCGTCTGTATTGGGAACGCCAGCCGCAATGAGGCAACTTGAGACCAAGACACTGAGTAGCCAACCGCGGAAACGCTGCGCTTCTCTCCTCCCTCCCGCGGGCTGGCGGACAGCGGGCGAGCTCGGGCGAGCCAGGCTGGCGGTCTCTGCAGGCCCAGCGGCAGTCACCGCCCGCCGCCTGTCATTGGCCCGGCCGAGGAGGAGGAGCCGCAGGAGGTGGCAGCAAGAGATCGCCATTGGAGAAACCGGGGAGGGAAAAACCAAATGCAGAAAGCTGGAGGGGGGAATTAAATTGCTCTTATACGTTCCGCACCCCTATCCTGTCCGGTTCGAATATTTCGCCACAGGCAATATTGAAAATGCTACAGCTGGCAGTTCTGTGCTCAGCGACGGCTTTTTGGGGCGTGCAGAGGTTCCCAGTTGTCGCCGTACCCCCACTATACCCCCAGGAGTGGCGCGGTCTGGGCAGAGGCGGTCTGGGAGGCGGGGGCGGTACGGGAGGCGGGGCTGCGCCGGGTTCCGTGTGTCTATGTCAATGTGTCTGTCCTTCACTCCTCCATTGTCTGCTGCCGCTGCTGCCGCTGCCGCCGCTGCCGCTGCACGAATCGCCGCAGCCGCCAGCCTTGCGCGTCGTCGCCACCTCCTCGGACAGGTGAGAAGCAGCCCAGGTGAGGCAAGGGGTGCCGGGAGGGTTGCGAGAGCAGCGACTGCCGCCCCGCCGGGGCTTCCATCGGGCCGGAGCTGGCGGGGAGGAAGCATGTGCCTCCTGGGGTGGCTTCCTGCCTCGCGGTGGAGAAGCCCCCGCTCCACCTCATCATCACCGCGCTTACGGGGTGTCAGTGACCTGGGATGAAGACCTCCGACTCGCAACGTTTGGCCGCCCCGGGAGACCCTGGGACCGCAGGCGGGCGGGTGGGGGCCAGCCACGCGGTGAGAAGTGGCGGGTGCACATGGTCTCGTGCGTGGCACCGCCAGACGCGGCTCCCGGGGAGGCTGGGGCCAGGGCTCTGGGCTAGGGGTCGGGAGGAGAGCGCCCCATTACTAGCGAGTCAGTGAGGACAGACTCGGGAGAAGGTAGTTTTTACGTTGGTAATCCTCGCCCTCCCCACTACTTGTCATCTCTTTGGCCTCTGTGGAAGCTGTAGAAGAAAACCGGACCTGATCGCCTAATGTTGCTTGTTAAGGATGTTTGGAAACAATTTACACTTGCACTAATACTTCGTTTATGAGAGACAGCCTCGGGGAGGGAAGGGCTTCTTTGCTCTGCTAGAGTTCTTGGTTCTCTTTGTAACTCAGATCTTGAGATTTATGGAAATAGGGAGTGGAGGGTGGGGAGGTTGGAGAGGGCGGAGATTAAATTGGTGTTGCTGCCTATATATAGCCTTAGATTAGCCTCTTAATCCAACCTTCATACAACTGTAATATGTAGCCTGGAGCTTCAACCATAGGTAGATGGGGGTAAATATAAGTGTGTACTTAGAAATAAGATTTGCTTGCTAAAATGTGGGAATCAGTGATTTCTCCAGGGTACACATTTATATTTACATCATCAATGAAAGTTTCTTTGAAAATTAGTGTTTATGTTTTACTGTTGTTTCCCTACAGAGTAGTATTGATATTTCTCTCAATATGTGTGTCAAAGAGACATGTATGTGTCAAAGAGAAATATTTGAATAATTATGTAGGTGGTTTTTGTTAAGCATCCCCAGGACCACTGTTTCTTCTCATAGTGCCATACAAAAAGCGAAATCCATTTTCCTCTGGCCTTAGGCGTTTATTTTGTGTGAAGCTTTCACTAACACATCTGAAATCTCCTGGAATATGTTTATCATTATTTCCTGCCTTTAGCAAAAATCTTTCCTAAACTCCAGCTGTTTTTGCCCCCTAAAGCTTCAGCTTCAAAGGCTGGGACAGATCTGAGCCAGAACATCTTACATGAAAATGGTTTGAAATTATTCATCTCAGTGTATAACAAAGATACTTTTGTTGGATGATGCTTTAATAATGATGTGGCTGTTCAGGCAAGTAGTAAGGCTTCTGAGAGTGACCGATCTTTTGTAATGCTGTTAGTTCCAGAGTTACAATTGATTTATAATACAGTATCATGCGGAAGAAACCCACAAACCTAAAAAAACGCTTGAGTAGTAACCTCCTGGAACATGTGATTTAGCATCTTACCAGCAGATGCATACACAGAATTGGGTACTTCATTGCTAGTATTTCCATCTCTTGTGCCAAATCTGGGCCATGGTTACTTGAAGGTCACACCTGTTTGTCTCACTGGGGTTGTCAGTTCCTCGAGGATAGCAACTAACTATTTTCTTGATGCCTTATGACACTTGTTTGGTATTTAGTGCTCTCTGAATACATGACCAATGAATTTAGAGACAATAACATTGAAAGAGAATCTAACATCTACCTAGAAATGCAGATAAATCATGTTCAGTTTACATTTCTAGAAACAGATTCATAATGGGTACTGTTCATTAGATGGATTGATCACATTAGTAGTTGTATGATGTAAATATTTAATGTAGGAATAAGATTAGATAATGAGCATATTAAAATAGATTCACATCAAAGAAGTTTTATTGATAATAAGATGGCTACTTCATATTGAGTATTTAGTCTGTGCTAGATATTCTACCAGATGCTTTGCATATAATTATTCTATTGTTATGACAACTCAGGAATTAGCCAATTTTATCCCCACTTCTGCAAATAAGAGGACAGAAACTAAGGGAAATAGTTTGTCCACAACCCCATATTAGGAAGTGTCAGAGTCAGAATTGGAATAATGATTTCTGAAATGTGTGAAATGTTGTATGTGTCCTCTCATATCTTTTTCTACTACTACCACTCTAGACCTATTGCAATGCATCTTAAGTAGCCTGCTTCTCTCTCACCTGTCTCCATCTAGCTAATTCAGGGAACTACCAGTTCAATAAACATTGAGCACCCATCATTCTGTGAATGGCTCTCCTCTGGCCACAGAATAGAGGGCTGGGTCTGGCCTGGAAGGTTCCCATCCATCCATGGTCTCAGCAGGCATTTCCAGTCATCTGGGCCCTCCCACACACTGAGCTCTAAGGTCACCACTCTGCTGGTTCCCCAACCTGCCGGTAATTTCCACCCCTTTGTTCCTGCTTTTCTCCTTCTCCGAATGACTTCCCTTCCCTTTTCACTGAATCTCCTCTCCAGATCTGATGAACTATTCAACTTTTCCGACACAATTTAAACAAAAACTCTTTTCTTCAGCTTTTGTGTTCATCTCTCTCTCTCTCTGTCCAGTAAGGGAAATATACGTGCTAGTAAATACATTTATTCATGTGTCTTGGCAAGGGTTATAAGTAAAATCTTTGTATGTGGAGGATATTGATATGCAACATGGCTACTGGTATCACTGCTGGCAGCCTTTAATTCTCTCTTCTTATGGATTCTAGTGAACCCTCTTTTACCACCCCCCTCCCCCGCCTAAATTGACATCATTGCTTCTTCATCTGAATCTCCATGAAAACACCTAAAGCAAGCACTTTCTCATCACATTCTATTATACTTATTATTATTAATCTGTTTGGTCCCTTCTCATTCTAGAGTATACATTAACTAGGTCAAATTTATCTTTGTTTCTAAAGGTTTAACCCAGTGTCTTGCACCTAGTGTATGCTCAGTACAAGCTGAGTTGAATTCAGTTTGATCTCTAAGTTATTTTAGGTGGATTTGTTTTCCTACTTGACTAATCCTTCCTGGCAATGTGAGGTGAGGTGGCACTAAGCACGCACAATCATAACCAGAGGCAGAAAGTCTTTAAATGTTTTGGATCTCAGGCTTCTTGACATTCTGATGAATGCTGTCAACCAAGAAAAATTGTTCCTATGCACATGTTGCAAATTTGGCATGCCATTCTTAGATTTCCCCATTAAAGACCCTGATTTCCAGCTCTCTAAGAGAATGCTGCCTGTTAATTGCATGTTTGAGTATTACATCTTTCAGGGTACTGTTTTGCTTGACATTTGACTTTTTTTCCTTAGACTTAGGTATCTTTATTAAGAAATTTTGATTTTTTTAAAGTTTGAAGTAGATTATGGTTGTATTTTTAAAAGATTACTTATCTTTTAGAGATAGGAACAGATTTATTGCAGAACTGGATGAGAAGACAGCTGAGATTTGCTTTAATATAATTCTGTGACAGAAAGGAAGAGAGACTGAATGAGAATATAAATGAGATAAAATTGACTATGTTAACAGTTGAAGATGGGTGATGAGTACATTCACTTGATTATACTGTTCTCTCTACTTTTGGATATATTTGAGATTTTCCATAATGAAGTTTTTAAAAAGAAAATTTGGAAGTATTACAGCCTCTAAGAAATCTTTTTTTTTTTTTTAACACAACATAAGAAAGTAATATGAATACAAATGTTCTTTTTTCTATACTTAGAGTTTCGCTTATGTGATTATTCGTTTAAGTGTTAAAACAGTTACACCTAAATCTGCAAAGAACTGTCTTGTGAACAATGCATTTCCATAAACATTTCAGATCACATTTTAACTTCTCCAAAAAATGAAAGGTTGGTGGCATTACTCAGTGCTTGTAGAACAAATTGATGAATATCTTACTGGTAGTTAATCCTCATCTTTTTTGAAAATTGACAAAGTAATTTTCAGAAAATTTTGAAGAAGGGGTACAGATATATTTAGTTTAACTGAGAAAATCAAGAGGTGAATGAAGTGGAGATACTGACGTTCTTCTGTGTGTCATAATCCAACTCAGAAGGCATTCAAAAAAAAAAGAGTACCAAAACTGTTTTAAGCAATGTCAGCACTGTTAGGATAAGTATATTAGTCTAGGAAAACTAGGAGCAGGCCCAGGATAGGGTGTGACTGGTAGGTTCTTACTCAATGTTTGCTTAGCTGAGTACTTACTCTGACACCTACTTTATAATTTGTGCAATTTTTTAAACTTACTTTTTGATGTTTAAATTTTTTTATTGTGTTTTAGCTATATTAAATGTCCTTTATAGCATGTCATCCTAGACTTTGGGATTTTAAAAGAATATTTAATTAATATGAAATCCACCAATATTAGCAGGTCATAAACAAGAATACTTTTCATTCTTAACTCACTCATGTCTGTGTATGGAGGCCATGGCACTCTTTAGCAAGTATCTTTTGGACAGTTAGGTGCCAAATGGAATGATTTGCCCTGTTCTAAATTTGGCATGTATTCAGTGAAGAGTTGCAAAAATGTTCAGATAGTCATATTTGTAAACTATTTTGAAAATAAAGGTTTGGATATTCATTGAATGAACCATTCTTTGTTAAATGCCAAAAAGATGTTTTCATTATTCTGTCTTGATTTTTAGCAATAGGTGTTTCCATTGATGTTTTTTAAGTTTATGTCAAAAATGAAAGGAAAAAAGTATAATGACAATAAGAAAGAATAAAGTGCTGTATTAATATTTAAGATAGTATAATCCTTTGGCTATCTTTAATCCTTTTAATTCTGAAAATATTAATATTTTAGCAGGAAAACAGTAACTTAAGATGTAGAATTATTTTTTGTGTCAGATGTAGAATTATATCTTCTTTTCACATCTCAACTTATTTTTATGCTAGATGAGAACTGTAAAAAATATAACAGGTGTACTG